GGTCTTGTGGGGGGGCCATTTGGCCCCTTGTGGTGGGGCTATTGCCCTGTTGGAGGGCAGCAAAATATGTATTCATGAAACATGTATTTAGAGTTCACTTTATTATTATGATGAGACATGCTTTAACACTGTAAGATATATATCAATAAAACATTGTCCAACTCTCTCTCTCTCTTTATAATGGTCTCTTGTTTTACTTGTGGACGAATATGGATTTGAGGGTATTTTACAGAGTGACTTTGGGATTTTTTTATCGGGGATTTTTCAGTTTTCCAATAGGGAACACCAGAATTCCTGCTAGGGAGGCCAGTGACAGGACCCTGATTGCTCAGAGCTGACACCTTGGACCCAGCTGGCTACCCCCAAATGGGGCCAGGAGGACATGCTTTGACAGCTCAAAGCAGGCCACAACACCTGGAACATCTTCCAAGTGATAGCTGCCCAGATGGCCGGGCAGGGGGCACAGATGGCAGTAGTGCCTCACAAAGGCCAACCCTGCAACCGCAGTCCACTGGCAGATGGCCCAGAGGGGCAGATGCCTTTACTGGCTGTGCAGTCTCCATCCGGGTCTGGTAGGTGCACAGCAGGTCACAGCCAGGCAGCAGCCCCCACTGCCAGACTGCTGCACTGGGTAAAGGGTGCAGGGAACTCTCAGGGCTGCTTCAGCACTCCAGCTGACACCAGGGGTAGTGTCCCCAGGTACCAATTGGCTGGGCCCCACAAGCTCCTGAGAGCTAGTAGCCTTGAGCTACTTGCCAGGGCGGCTTTTTATACTGCTGGGGACAGCATAGGTGCCATCCCTGGGCTCTAGCTCCCCCGGCTGCAGATCCGGGAGGAGCCAGGCAGGGTTATTTTGCCCCAAGAGGCACAATTTGCTCCACACCAAAGTGCATGTCCAGGCACGTGCACTGAAGCAAAAAGCCCGGCTCAAATTTACACTGCTATTTGAGCTGCTGCAAGTGCACGTGCTTGCATGTGTGGACGTGCCCGTAGGGTTCATGTGCATGTACTTTAAATAAGGCAACTTAACTAAGTCGACTTAAGGCACATCGAGTGTATACACATACAGCCCCTTGACATGGTGGCAGCCATCTTGTGAGCTGAGTTGATTTAACTAATGCGACTCAAGGAAATGCACCTCGGGGGCCGCATTTAAGTTGACTCTACTCTGCATATGTATGTATACTCTGACAGTTAAACCGACTTAACTTTAAGTCAACTTAACTGTCAGAGTTAGTACATGTGTATGCACCTATACATATCAGAGAGAAATGCTAATATCTTGTTCAGTTCTAAGCCGTAGTTTACAACAGCCTTGATTGCAGTTTGTGCCATGGTAGAAAAACTGCTGTTTGAGAAACAGGCAGGTCACAGTCTTTCCAGCTCCCAGGTGCAAATGAAATGTCGAGTACATAGTTATACTGTGCATCTGTTTCGTCTGCTACAATCAAGATTTGAATAATCTTCTTTCAAAGCAGATTTTGTAGTCTAAACATGCAAAGCAATTATTTTTGGCAGATAATCCAGGCAAAGTTTGTTTGAACATGGGGAAACTACTAGCATTTGATATATGTGCTTGTTCAAGTACTCCCTTAGTTTCAGGTTATCAGTTTTTTTCCAAAAGTATGTTGGCAGCAGTAAATGCTCCCACTAGCTTGAATGTAGCTTCTCTTCTTGTTAAAGTGCTTTCAGTGGTTCTTTTAAACATTGAGGACATTGTCATTTGTTTTCTGTTCTAACATCAGCCTCGGCAGAACCTTTTTGCTTTATATGTGATTCCTAAATGGTGATCAGTGCTGGTTTGTTTGTTTGTTTGTTTCTCTATACATCCAAAGTCAAGTTGCAAGATGAACACAACAGTTTAGGACCATCTGAATGCAAGGTTCCTACAGAGAACTGTTACACATTCCTGAGCTGAGATGTATTTAGCTTTCTTGAATTTTATTTTCAGTCATCGTCTTCAGACTTCAAACTATTGCATTTAAGATGGCACTGAAACATTTCACTCTACTGACTGATGCCTTCACTTTTTAATCTACATCACTACAAGTAGGCAGACTGCATCTACGTGTGCCTCCATGAAGCAGTTGTTACTGTGCCATCCTGGCGGTGCATGGTTATTTATAGCAGCTGTGTTACTGTAGCAACACACTTTATAGCAAGGAAGCTCATCACTACCGTGGTGTAGTGGCAGCATCACAGTTTGTGCCCACTGGCACTACGTCGCTGTAGCTCATTGCTATGTTGTTGTGTAGATGTGCCCAGTAACTCTCAATCACGTGATCTATGACTATACTGATATTGTCTTCATATTGCAGTAAGCATTCCACCCAGGAAGAGCACACACCAACTGCTGAAACTTCCTTAGCCTGACAAAGGGTTTTTGAACCCAAAAGCTTGCTTAAAAATTGTTCTCCAACTATTTAGTTGGTTTAATAAAAGATATCAGATTTGCCCAAAGAACCTTGTCTGCCAGTAAGCATCGGAGGATTCTAAAACAGCATATTATATGACTAATACACATTTTTAAATTGATTTCACAAACCATCCCATTATATTTCATATTTTCTGTAGAACTGCAATTTAAGTAGATAAGTAGACCTACTTACTGAGGTGAAATTGCTTTTACAACTCTTAGTCTTGGGTACAATACATGGCTTAATAGGTGTGTTCACACAGATCACTTTTTTTTTAAACTTTACAATGAAAGGATGTATTCTTCCTTATCTTATGCTGCACAAATGATAGTGTTAGCAGCGTGCTCAAATGGAGTTTGGATTTTTGTTTGGCAGCTTATCAGATAACCGCTTAAAGCACTTTGTAAACACAGATATTTGAGTGTGTGGCTGGGTTGGATCCTATGCAGAAATTTTATAGAAACTCTGTCATGTTGGATAATTTTCTTTTCCGCATCTCTCCCCCCCCCCCCAATCGTTCCGTCTTGAAGCACCAATGACCCTAAAATTCCCTGTTCACTGACTGTGCTACATGTTTGAAGGTTCCATTTCTTTCAACAGGTGTGAACACAAATTGAATCACTTGAGATTTTGTGCCCAGACAAGGGCAAGTGAAAGGAGAACTGGGTCATGTTCATTTGGGCTTGATAAGTAAGCATGAGATTTTTCCTGCTCAAGATGTTTTATACAGGAAGTTTGATCTCACAGTTGCAAGGAAAATCCTGTTCAGTTTTTAAACCAGACATTTGTATTCTGGCTTCAAAAGAGAAGAATATGGTTTATGTGAAATATTTATGCCAAATGAAGTATAGTGGTGAGCCCAGGTCCCTGTAAACCTACAAGGTGTTTTGGCTTAGCGGATAGGCCTTCTCTTGTGCCCTTGCTTAGAAAAGAAACCACTTCTGGAATTTACCTTGTTCTTGGAAAAATCTTTAAAAGAAAAATATTCCCAGAGTTCCTTGCCGTAATCCTTTTTTTTTTTCCTTTCCCAGCAAGAGCTTTCTGATTTATTTCAACCCAAGAAAGCCTTTTATTTTATAGATTAGATTCACTCTCTTCAGCTTCACATCTAGTCAGAGCGGTGAATGTGACCTGGTCTTACAGCTCAAATTGGCAAAGATTCTCTACAAGGTTCATTATTGTCAGGTCGCTGAATAGGAGCACTACAATACACAGAAGCTGGATACGCGCATGCAATTATTGTTTCCATAAGTCCTAGAATTCGTAACATGATACACAGTTGACTCTGCTGATTCTGGGACCCCACAGGTAAACAGTATGTCAAAGGATACTAAATGCATAAGTTTGTTGTATTAAAGCTCTTGGACCTCTAAAATCTGTTACCTTGTTAAACATAATACAATCATATTTAAAAAAAAAAAAAAAAAAAAATGGGTTTTTTTACAAATGCCCTAATTGTAGCTGGAACATATTCAGACCATCTGTTAAATTACAGAAAACTTATTCTCCAGTGATTGAGAACTTGGCTGCAATTTTAGTTCTGTGAAACACACAACCTAATTATTCTCATCCTAGTTGAATGCTTGCAGAGTGATATGGGAATTGCCAAGCAAATTCAGACTGATAGTCTAGACTGGTACCTTTGACAATAGCTTGGTGCAATCAGAGAAGGGTGCAAAGACCCTTGTTATCGATGCAGTAACACATTTATAGGGAAGCATGTGTCTATCCTCAAGCGATTGGTGGTTGTGTTTGTCCTGGAGGAAAAGGGCATATTTCATATATAAGCTTCCCTCCTTTCCCAGTCCATTGTGGGTGGCTACAGTGTTGTTGTTTGTTCACATAAATGTCTAATCCCTTTTAAAAATCCTGTTCAATGCTTTGCTTTAATTTCTTGGAGCACTGAGTTAAAAAAAATGTAACAATTCTTTAGCTTGGTGGTGGGGACGGGTGACTGTTTCATTTTTGTCATAACTATATTTTAAATTTGTTTCCATTCAGTTTCTGGGGGGGGGGTTCTCAGTCATTTATTGAGTCCCTATTTTAGCATCCCTGCCTCTTTTCTCCCCAGTCCCCTGTTCCTGAAAGTCCTTCTATATGCCTTGCTTCTTTCAATGTTTTTGGGCTTGAATTTTCCATGGTATCCTTACCTTGGTTACAAATTGACTTATAGGACTGCTGCTGGAGGCTTTGTCTTCCAAATATACCCTTTGTCTTGTATGCTTCTATATTGCCCATTTACTGCTTATACTAAATGCACTTTAAGTATCATTTACCAAGAGGACCCTATTTTTTTTAAACATTAAACAACAATTACAGAACTCTCATTTTCTCCATTTTTATAGTTTCAGCTGTATATGATTCCACGCTCAATTTTAGAAATAATGAGAATCCAACTTTGCTGGGAGTTTTAAGTGGGAAGAAGTACCATGCTGATTTATATGTAAGGCAAGTGTTCTTTTTTTTCTCCCTCTCCTCTTCTTTCCCACTCTTTTTTTCCCCCAATAAATGAATGTGTCCATTCTGCTTATAAGCAATAACATGGGTTTCTTTTCCATTACCTATAAGAAAAGGAAATAAAATCTCAAACTATCTTCTAAAGTGCTTGATGCTGGTCTTAATTTTTATAGGGGGAGTTGCCAGACTGCACACTTATGTACATTGTGGATCTGTTGATTCCCATTGTTCATTTCAGTGATACTGCTAGATCCAGACTGAAGTGTTTCCGCTCTCAGATGGTTTTTTGCAATGTCATATATGTCAGTTGTTCAATATGTCAGTTGTGACTCCTTGGCTTTTGCCTATGACCCTAGGATTCTCAAGTGATCTAGCCTCTTAAAAACTAGCTAGACCAAGGGCTATTTAGCTTCCAAGATTTAGATAATATTTGGAGTATCTACACTTGCAATTAATTCGAAGCAATAAACTCTGACACAGTTTACACCCGAGTTTATTGCTCCTGGGAATGCTGTTTGAAAGTGTGTCCAGGACTGCAGTATGTTCAGCTGGGTCAGAGCAGCCCTGTTTGGCAAGGGAGCCCCGAAGATCATCCTGCCAACCTAGGGCTGCTCCTGCCTGATTTTTCAGCATGCTGTGGAGGTGCTGGCTGGGGCACAAGCGTGCCTCAGTGCGGGGCTACCCAGCAGGCAGACCCCACATTAAAGCACCCTTGTGCCCCAGCCATAGCCAGGCCAGCTTCTATACATGCGTTGCTGGAAAGTAAAAGAACTCTGCCATAGGATAGTATTTATGTTTTATAAGTACTAACCTATGGTGGAGTTAATTAGCTTACTCCATCCTAATAGCTCTTCGTGTGTAGATGCTGAGACCTTTACTGCAGAACTAATTGGGCAACTCAACAGTAAACATCTCATGTAGATGTGCCTATTGGATGTGTTCAGGTTATCATGGCTGCAGGTAGATGCCATTTTAATTTTTTAATTTATTTATTTATTTTAAAGCATGCAAGTGCTGTTCAGTCAGTCTTTGAAAAGCTAGATGATTGTGTTGCAGTCTTTTAGGGAGAGCTGTAGTAAGCAGCAGAAGAGTTACTCTGTCCAAATAATTGTCACTGCTCTCTGTGAGCCTTGTATTTGTTGCTTGGCTGGGAACACGGAAAGAGGAGATGGTCTGTGCTGTTTGCCCACCTCTGTTCAGGGACTGACATATCACTTAGAGCAGGTTTGACCATGAAACTACCCAAACTCAATCTTACTGATTTCTCCATTGACAGGGGAGACTATCAGTAGGTCCCCATCATCTGATTTCAAAGGCTTATTCTATCAGTTGGATCTAGGTTGCTGGCCACTATAGTCAGAAAGGCTCATCAAGATGGGGAGCCTAGTGCTGTAATTCCTGCTATGCTGTCAAGGCTAGCACTGCCTGGGTAACACTGCCCATAAATTCCCAACTTGTCACTGAAATTGGCATATGGCTTATTTCTGAATTTAATCCTACGCTTGGAAGCCCATCCGTAGGTTAAATTCCCATGGGAATTTAAATACTGTTCAACACAGTTGGCAAACTCTCTGTAGGCTGTTACCATACTGGTGCAACAGGACAGTAGCTGATGATCACCCTCCTCTTTTTTTTCATGTTGGTTTTCCTAAAAACTTCAATAAAATGTTGCTTCTCCTCTCCCCTGATCATGAGTGTTTATAGGCCTGACTGGTTGTGACACAATGGCCACTTTTGGTTGTTACCGCTTAAATTGCAATGACTCCAGAAGCTGTTGTCTCATGGATTTCTAGAGGAAAAGAATGAAATGACAAAGCATCTAACTGTTTTATCAGGATGCAAAGAGTTGACAGTTGAATCCAAGTCAGAAAAGGTGTTTGGTCCATGCAAATTTAGTAGCTGCTATTAACAATTTTAAAATACCCCAGTTGTTACTTTACAACATCCTGCAATATGACAGCATTAGGGGGTTTGTTTTGTTTTGTTTTGCTTGTTTGGGGTTTTTTTTAAATGAAGATGACAGTAGAAATAACACTAAAAGTTTTCTCACAACAGAATTTTCAAATTTACTGCACAGGAATTATCATTAAAATTGATAGGGGCCTGGTGAATATTTCTGGTTTTATTTTAACATTTACTCATTAAACCAGGGTACTGTGACATCCTGGAGTATCTTGATCCTTCCAGGGGTGTCCTGGGGTATCACACAGTGTTAGCGCTCTTTCTTTGCAATAGAGGAATTGCTGCATTATTTTTCTGTAGTCAAAACAACAAATGAAAACTAAGCTGACATTTTGTCAGGGGTGCCTTGAGTCTATCTAGGGGTGTTTTCTCTAAAAAGTTTGAGAACCACTGGATTAAATGAACTACTGTGATCAAATATCTTTATCAGCTCTAGTTTATAAAGGTATCTTAAGACATGGAAACAACTATTCCAAAATTACATGGGGGTAGAGAGTAGTACACAACATTTTGGATGGTTTAATTTGTGAAGTAGGAAGCTAATCTCCTTAAATTTATTTAGAATTAGAAAAACATAAAGCTTTTAAGTGGAAAAGGACTTTAAGTTCCTTACAGTGTATTCTTAGCTGCAGATATGTCTAAGGATTGCACTTGAAACTACATATCTCTTTCAGGTATTTGGAGCATGCAAGAAAAAGAGTAATAAAGGAGCTTGACTCCTGTGAAATAAATCTGTGCTTTAATTGGCTTGCAATTTTAAGCTTCACATTTTAAACAGGTTGAGTGTCATGCTTGCTCTTTGCCATCTCCTTTTTATTGTTTGCAGACGGATTCCATTAGAAGAAATCCCAGAAGATGAACAGGAATGTTCCAATTGGCTCCACAAACTCTATCAAGAAAAGGTGAGTTAATTCATAGTGTCACAAAGTAGTAAGGCTGGAAGGGAACTCCAGAGGTCATCTAATTCAGTCCCCTGCCTGAGGCAGGATCATCCCTGTCCAAGCTATCCTATACAAATCCATTGTCTAACCTGCAAAACCTGACAAAAGCACACGACATAATAAGCCTAACTTGCCACGGGTAAAGCAGGGGGACTATAGCGGCCAAAGTCATGCTGCTGCAGAGTTGTTAAAATACACTTGAAAGATTCAAGGAGGGGGGGCCATACCCCCCACCCCGCGCCCCTACAGGGGAGGAGAAAATGCCACTCGGTCCCTACCATTCTGACCAGGGGGTAAAATTCCTTCCTGACTCAATATAGGATGATCAGTCTGACCCTGAGCACAGGGGCAAGACCTTCTAGCCAAGTACCTCTAGGTTTAAGTCCCAGCAGGAGCATTAGGACAGCCCAGTCACAATCCCCAGTCTTGGCTGCAGCAAAATACACAGTCTCTCCTAGGAAGGCTTTAAAAGAAAAAAATACTATCTGACTCATAGCAGCAGGAGGGAGAAATGAATCCCTCCTGGCCCCATCTGACAGCCAGCAAAGTCCAAAAGCATAGGAAGTACTCATGGTAGAGCATAAGTATAGCTACTCCTAAACCATCCTGGACCAACGCCTGTCCAACCTTCTTGAAAACCACCAATGAAGGAGATGCCACCACTTCCGTAGGCTGTCTGTTCCCCTGCCTCACTGCTCTAACAGTGATGTTTTTCCTGCTATCTAACCTAAACCTATTTTACTACAACTTCAAGCCATTAGTCTGTCTTCCCCTTTGCAGTAAAGGGAAAAAAGGTGTTTTCCCTCATCTTTTTATAGTTAGTTTTTTAGGCATTTGAAGACTGCTATCATGTCCGCTCTTAAGTGCTTTTTCTACGAACTGAACATGCCTATTTCCTTTAACCTCTCCTTGTATAGCTTGCCTTCCAAGCCCTTTTATCATTTTTTGTCACCCAGCTCTGGACTGTCTCTAACTTCATGTCCTTTCTACATATGGATCCCAAAACTGCACACAGTACTTTAGATCAGGCCTAACCACTGCCAAGTAGAGAGGTACTGGCACCTCTCATGTCTTGTACCTAATGCTTTTAGAAACACTGGGGCCGCATTAGTTGATAAATTGATTGTTTAATATTAAAGTTCTTGCAGTGTGAAGGTGCATGTGTTGGTGCTGTTTCCAAACCCCACCTTCCGCCCGAGGTTGTTGTTCTTTCTCCAGCCTCACACTGTCTGCCATATTTTGTATGAAGAGAGCAGAAAGAAGAGAACATTATTAATGAAAGAGCAGGGGATGTGCATCTTGTGAAGGTTGTATTAGAATACAGCATAGCAGCTAGCTCTTGATCATGGAGAAGGATTTATCTCCACGTAAAGGCTCAGGTTATGCTTAAATATACAATTTAAACGCTTCCTGGGAGTGGGTCTCATCTGCTGTAACTGTTACATTCGCATGAGCCTGCAGCAGTACAAGTTTGCTATGTTGTTCTTACTTTGACCCTGAATTAATCAGGGTAAGGGTTAAAGTTGCAGCAATTTGGCTACATTTCTATCAGTACAGAATCATGGAGATTTAAGTCAGCTCTTACCAGCTTGTCTTGGTATCCTTTGATATTGATATTATTGTTGCATCTCTCTCTGCCTTCAACAGGCAAAAAAAAAAAAAAGCCCAAATCAAATGTTTCACATTAAATAAACCTCAGTTAGCTGTTTGAAGAGTCAGTGTTCCCACTTTGTGTTTTTGACAGGGTTATAGTAATGCTGACACAATGCACTGATGAGCACCTATCTCCTACAATATTCATAGGAGGCACTTTTCTCAGAAACATTAATTTAGGGTATTGTCAAAATGTGAATGGCTGCATGTCCCAGTGTGTGCCTGCTGATTTGAAGAGGATTGCATCTGTAGCCTGAGGGAAATGCAGCTACTCAGTTTGTGATCTTCCCCACCCTTTGAGCATGAGGCAGTGCTTTAGGGATCCACTCACTGAACATTAAAACCTCCCTTTTTAAATAAGTGGGAGGGAGTGTGGGGGTGTGTGTGCATGGCTTTTAGCACCTCATTATTCAGGAAGTGTCAATGTGAGCCGCATCTTTTTTGAGCTGCAATAACATGAAAAGTTAAGAGAGCCTTGTGTTGTTTGCCAAGGCCTGTGCCACCTACATAAACCATCCACTGTACAACTTCCTGCACTCCTGCATTCATGTGTTGTTTTAGTGTAAGGCCAGTCTTCTTTAATGGAAAGAGCTTTAGACCCTTTCGAGGCTTCAATCCGGCAGTCCATGACCCGTTATCATTTTGGGGGTGGGTAGATATTAATTCAAAACTCTTTAGCAACTCAGTATAAGCATGCAGAGGGAATGGCTGTCAGGGACCTCATAGGCACAGTTCTGCCAGATTTGGCCCTCGTATGGTTTAGGACACCCATTTTTTGGCCTCTGGTAAGCTCAAATCAAGTGTAGTATCTTCCCAATAAAGACCTGAGACTGCATTCTACCTTTATGCCTTGCAATACAAGATCACAGTGCAGTTCTTCTGTTGCAAAGAGTTCTGAAAGACTGCAGTGGGTCTGAATACTTTGGACGCTATGGATTCCCATTTGTGGGTTTATCTTGTGAAGCATATTTGTACTTTTAACAGTGCAAACGTTGTATGGGACCTTGCAGCACTTTTGAAAGGATCTCAAAGCACGTCAGGGTGCTGCAGCCCTGAGAATCACTGCTGTAGGGACAGTCTGTCCTCGGTGTTTCACATCCCACTGAAGTTGATCACCCTGTTACTCAGTAGTACTTGAACTTCTCTAATAGCAGTAATCTTGAAGTCAACAAGCCACTTCAGGACTGCCTATAATACAGCTCACTTCAGCAGGTATCAGTACTAGGATGAACTCCTCAACCTACACGCTGGTTAGTTTTCTGCTGTACATGGTTTGAACTGTTTCCGTGGACTGCCAACAGATTTCTACAGTTCTGTGGCTGTATGACCACATATTGTGCTGTTGTGTACGATTTCCTGGACTCTAGAGCTCATATCTGGTCTAAGCCCAACTTGAATGATTTTTTTTTGTTTGTCTTACTCTATTCCAGAGTTAATACACTCACATCACACAGTCAAGCATGAAGATTGATGATAAATTGCCATAGACCCCAAGGCAAAAAATTACGTGTGCATCTGTAGAAACAAATCCATCCCACAGCAGCCCAGTATGGGGTCTGTCTGTCTGTCTCAACAGCATTTTTAGAGCATCTTTCCTTTCCTGTGGCTGCCTTCATTGGGTGGTGGTGGGGGTAGCTATACCCCTAGTCCTGGGCCTCCCTCAAGTACAGACTAGTTACTCCCCCAAAGATGCTTCTTTTGCAGTATCCCGAGAAAGTCATCATGCTGGGGCCATCCCAGATCAGGGGTAGGGGAGGCAAGCGTCTTGAGTGATCGCTGCACCAATCAGAATTCAAAAACCTGAAAACAGAAATAGAGGAATGGGGAGGAAATATCAGAGTCTTTATACAGTCCACATTCTGCCGTATCTGTTATTCAGAGGGCCATTGTCAGCATCCTGGATAAACATTAGAAGACGTTTCTGTAGCAGTGCCAAAACCATGACCCAGAGCACTTCATCAAATTGGAAACGAGAGAAGCAAATGCAATAAAGCTGTCACCAATCTCAGCACTCAGCAGTTGAGCCCTTTCTGGGAAGTGCTCAGCATCCTCTGCTGCTATCTTGCATGGAATTGAGGACACCAAGAAGAAGGGGACAAAATGCTCGTGATTCTTTTTTTCTGAAGAAAATATAGATTTGACCCAAGTATTTTACATGCAAGCTGGACTAACCCAGTCATTGCAGCTGAAGGCTTTTTTTGGAAAATCCTAACCACAGTGTTTCAGTTTTGTATTTCAAATCAATGTCTTGTTTGAAAATGTATCTGAAAGGTTTTTTTTTGTTTTTGTCTTTTTTTAAAGGCTCATTTTTCTCTTTCAGTAGGAAAATGAAGCATTTCAGTTTTCATTTTACAGGAAAAACTGAAGCTTTTGGGTTTGGGTCAGGTGATTAACTGGTGTTTAGGGGTGGGTTGGGTGGCCTCCCCTTCGCTTTGACAGCCATACAATATAATTGTATGCAAGAGTTGAGCTTGATTTAACAATACATATCACTTTATTCAGCTGGACTTCTCATAGAGCAGGGGTGTCAAATGAATGTCCTGGCCTGCAGAACTCCAGGAGGCCTTCAGGCCATGTGACAGAAGTCAGGACCTCAGGGGTGGCGCCTCCTGAAATCTGGGGTGTGGAGCCCTACTGGGGATATGTGTTGTCAGATGGGAACAAGCAGTGGTGGCTACAGGGTTAACATTGCTGTTCACCTTGCTGCTGTCTCTGGATCTGGCCTGGGGAAGACGGTGTTTAGTTTGACACCCCTGTCATAGAGCAATGCTACTTTTGCTTGCACAGTACTTCACCTTCATAGTTTCTAGGGTCAGCAGGGACCTGAACAGATCATCAAGTCCAACCCCCTGCCCTGGGTAGGAATGAGTGCTGGGATCATAATGCCCCAGCCAGATATCTATCCAACCTCCTCTTGAAGACCCCTAAGGTAGGGGAGAGCACCACTTCCCTTGGGAGCCCATTCCAGAGCCTGGCAGCCCTAACCGTAAAGTAATGCCTCCTGATATCAAGCGTGAACATGCTTTCAATCAATTTGTGGCCGTTATTCCTTGTCATCTCTGGTGATGCACAAGGGAACAGAGCCTCACCTATTTTCCACTAGTCCCATCTCATGCCACCAGATCCCCTCAGTCTTCTCTACCTTTTTCATGGGTTACCACATGTGCACCAGCATCTGAAGGACAAAGTAGAAAATAAGTGTTAGACTGCTTGGGCATATTCTCTCACTCTAACAAATCGGGAGTAGCTTCAGGGAAGTCAGTGAAGTCCACCTACTTGCACTGAACCCATCCAGCTTTAAATAATGTGATTTTTTTTTTTTTTTTTTTTTTTAAATTGAATTCTACCAACAAGTGACACAGAAAGCTTTCTAGCTCTTCTGACCCACATAAAGCTTCTGTTGAAATCTAAGTTTGTCTGAGTTAGGAGTGTTAAACACGACCCTCAGTTAATGAAATTGTCAGGGGGTCGGACTCGATGATGGGGGTCGGACTCGATGATCTATTGAGGTCCCTTCCGACCCTAACATCTATGAATCTGTGCCAGTGTTGAGTTTATTTCCAATGAGTGTGCAAAGAGCCCTAATGGGCAAACTACTGAAATGGGGCCAAAGCATGAAACCCTGCAAATTCATAAAAACTGTCTTCACCCTATGTGTGGGAAGTCTCATGGTGGGCTTGGAAAGTAGCCTTGATTGTTTAAATCACGTCAGACCTAGCAGCTTTGCTTTAGTGCTTGAGACCTTGATTTCACAACTTTATAAAGCAGGTTTTAGCTCCTCAGGAATGGTACAGTTAGTGAGCCAGCTGCCAGAACCAAAGAGTTCAGCACAGGTTCAAGAAACCTTTTATATGAAATAACAGGAAAGCTCCTCTCAGCCAGAATTTCGGACTTGTAACTGTGTTGAGACTAGCTGGATTAATCCAGGCTCTCCACAGCCGTGTGGATGCTTTGGCAGTGGTGAAGAAGCCTGCATCTTTGCATTTTCTGTATAACACTTCAGTTTTCTCAAACCTTTTTCTGAGAGGTCATCTCTTGCTCTGCTGTTCCAATTGCAGTGTAGAATCAGAGGTAGGAAAGATTTGCTGTTTGACACCACATTGCACAGTACGTAGTGATTAATCCCCCTAGCGGAGATGTCTATAACAGCAAGGGAAAAAAAATCAAGGATTTCTGACTAATACTGGTATTTTGAAACCTAACAATATGGAACAGAATGCAATTTACTAATGATTAGTGGCTTTAACTTAAACATAGTAAAAAAGCAGACTTCTCAAGGCACTCTAAGGCAAATTTCATACTCGGTATAATTTGTTCAAAGCAGCTAATTAATCAACCCTAATGATCCCGGTGCTGTCTAATACACAGGGAAAAGAAAGTGTCACAAATTTCTCTAATCTCACTAAAGAGAGAGTACCATTTTAATTATTATGTGATATCTTCAAAGTCCCATTTCCCTTCCAAATTAGATAAAATAGCAGTAGTCTGTGATTGCTCAAATTATTAATAATTAAAGAATTATATTAAAGCAGGAGGTTAATTAAATGTAAAATAATAGCAGAATATAAATATCCTTTCCCTAAATGTTTAGGAACAGTGTTGGCTCTCGAGGGTGGGTGATGAATTCTTTCTCGAAGTGTCTGCAACTCAATTCCCCAAAGATCTTGAGCTTCATTTCATTTAAATTTGTTTCTCATGTCACTCCTGTTGTTGTTTTTACAGTAGAATGGCTCCATTTGGTGTTAGTGGATTTTTTTGTTTTTGTTTTCTGGTTGCCACTGATGTAAGGGCTGGTTCAGTGATGCAGGATTCCACCTGAGAATTCTTTTCCATCAGTGACTTCATAGAAAGCAGGTAAAATAGTGAGAGTTAAACAAATAGCTCCATGTCCTTTGTTTTTCTCCATTCCATCATAGAGGGGGAGGCAGTGAATTTGAAACCCTCTACCAATTAAGCTAACAGAAAAAGTTATCTAAGTGAAAATAGCATGCTGCTCATAAACTGTTTATATGCGTTGGCCTCTTTTGGGAAGGATGAAGACCCAAACCCTTATCGTCAGTTGGATACAAGGTCAGTCTGGGTACAGACAAGTGTAGCTCCTTGCTGTAACAGAATGCTTTGCAGGAAGCATCCTGAGTTGCAAGGATCCTCCGTACCAAACAGAAGTTCACTGTTGGATCTGGGGGGCAGAAATCTAGCTGCTGGCTGCCAGCCTGCAGCTGGTTTCCCCTAGCAGTAGCCCTTCCTCCCTGGTTTTCAGAATGGGAGGGGGGGAAAGAGGAGAGGGAGCTTGTTCTAGGAATGCCCCACTTTGGAAGAGCTCCAATACACCCACCCCACCATTCAGCAAGGCAGTAGCAATGCGTAGGGGATTTTTTTCTCTGAGAGTGCCGGTACACCTCCTGACTGGTTGTGTTCGCCACTTAGGTGTTGGGCAGGGTGGGCAGGCAGGAGTACCGGGTACCCCCCGCCCCAGCAGCAATATCGGCTGTGGGGGGGACTCACCCCAGTCGGTGGGACACAGGGGGGGCAGCACCAGTCATCCATATAGCAGTAGCTGAAAAATCCCCAGACCAAACTTTCTTTCTTTTCCCCATTCCCATTCTGAAAACAGCTTGAGGCTGGCAGGCAATGCAAACAGAAGTTAAGAAGAGGCTCTGTTTTGAAACCCCTTCATCTGACCCTTTATGCAATGAAGGTTCAGATTTTCACCTGATTGGGCATTTTTTGAAGTGGTCTGCAGCAGTGTACTTGTTTGGTCACAGCTATAGACTACTTTCTGTGGCCAGATTGGGTGAAAATTGTCACTTTTGTCTGTGCCCTCAATGCCCAGTGGGTTTAAAAGTGTCTCGGCCGGGTAGAACCGACCGAGGGGAAACGCTGGTTAATTAAGTGAACGTCAGGCGGGCTGGTGGATGGAGAGGCGAGACAGCGTATTGGTTGCAAAAATAGTTTTTACTTACGCCGCTGGTGGCCACGACGCAGGCTGTAAAGGCTGCTTGCGTAGTTGCAACGAGTTGCTCCCACTGGAAAGAAAACGAGCCAGTGAGAAGGGTATGTCGGAGATAAGCACTCGGCGACAGGGAGGAAAAATTGGTAGTTGATCAGGCTACTGATTCGCTCTGCCACTAGTCAGGAATTCTTTAAAGTCACTCTGCAGCGTGCTCAAAGTTCTCCGACTTGGGCGGAAGTCTCGCGGATTTTTATACAGCTAGCGAGCCAATTACTAGTCATTAAGTAGGAATAATTTAGAATCAGCCAATAATGGGGTGCGAATATACATACAAATGGCGGGAACTTTTTTGCACCGGGGTTTTCTCTCTGCAGCAGAAAATTTCACCGTGCAAAGAAGTTCCATTGTGGCGGGAAAATTCCACTGTGCCGAGGCACTAAAAATCATTGGGTTATGACAAAAAGAATAGCATTCCTTGGAATACAGGGCCGGTTAGCACCTACCTTGTACTGTAAGCCAAGATGTGGAAACAATTTAGATAAAGGATTGATAAAAATGCAGTAGGAAATGGGAGGGTTTGCTACTGAACCCATTATCAGAAGCTGCTGTGACCTACCAACAGTACATGTCTGCTGGCTGCAATGGGTACAGTGGATAAGGAAGTGATTAAATATGCCCGAATGAGAGAATATTTACCCAAATAGCACAAGTGGCATTTCTCTCTTAATGTTGATCCACTAAGGTCTCATGAAAGCTTCAGACTTCAGAAATCTTGGCTCCACTGAACAAGAGCAAGGAAGGGAGGGGAACTTTTTAATGAGTATGTATTAAAGGAAAGTACAGGAAAGCTCAAATCCTATATGTTGAGCTTTCATTAACCAGAAGTACAAAATTTCCAGCCATCATTTTGATTTTTGATCTTCCTTTCAGGGTAACAAATGTACAAGCAAGAGAAACATCAAAGTCTGAGAGAAGCTGCTTTTGTTGGCCAGTCAGGATTTAAATGTTACATCTCTTTGTTCTGTCCAGGATGCCATTCAGGAAGAATACTACAGAACAGGAATCTATCCAGAAACTCCCATAGTGCCACCCCGGCGACCATGGACTCTTTTGAACTGGCTTTTCTGGGCCTTGTTGCTGCTATACCCTTTATTCAAGCTGCTCATCAACATGGTCAGTAGTGGATCATCACTGACGCTGGCCAGCTTTGCATTTGTCTTCATTGTGGGTAAGTTGTTTGCACATGAAAAGATTGCTTACAAGGGAAATTCTCAGAAAGAGCAAAGTCTGTCTTCCTTTATTAGGTGCCTGATGTCCATGCTGTAGAGCCATGTTTTACTTGGCAGCTCAGATGAGTGTTCCTGTCAACTTTGGTGGGAAAACTTCCTGCAAGTAAGGTGAACAGGCTTTGGGCTACGTTGAGTTGTTGGGTTTATTTTTGGTTGTTTTTTATTTTTGCATTAAAGGTGGCTCCAGACCAATAAATTCAGCACTACACTCCTTGTGAGCTTTGAAGAAACTCAGATCCAGGCACTGAACTGTCTCTCCAGCTGCTCTCCCTTTCATAAAAACAAGCCTCATCTCTTTTTTTTTTTTTTTTTGTCATACGAATTGAACCTTTTCTTATACAATTTAAGAGTATCCTTGGATAGTATCTGTTTGTACGAGCCTTGTAGTGTTGCCAGCTACCAAGATTGTTCAGACAGCACTGATGCTAAACAGTACAGTGCCAAATCTTGTCTCTTGCCTTCAATAAGGCTATTCCCATGGAGCTAGACTAATTTATTGACAATCTGGCCCATTAAATATGACCGTTGTAACCAGCAATTACTATTGTCTTTTATTGCTTGTATTTGTTGTTGCCTTTTTGTTGGAGGTGATTTTTTTGAAGAGCTGAATGCTAAGGTGGTAGCTACTGTAGAAGACATCAGTTATGTTCAAGAGCTGCCTACAGTTTTATGCAGTTTTATTTCTGTGGAATATGATGCTGGGCATATTATGGGGGCTTGGGAAGAGCATTTAATTCTTGTTTATGTTGTTGTGACACTAGGATTTGTGAAGCTGACTGCTGAGTGCATTCCTTCTGCTGATCTTCATGTTTTGTTTTTGGATCCGAAGAAACGCAGCCAGCCAATCTGACTGCTTATTTACATGGGTCACAGATTTCAGCTAGTAGTTCCTGCATCTAGTCCAGTAGCTTGTGTTTGAAATGGTTAACCTCTTCAAAGAGGACATCAGACTGCCTAAAGGGAAGAAGTGGGTGAAAGGAAGGGGTTATCGTAAGAAAGAGAGATGCATTAGTTGCCCTTCCATCTTGGAGAGGCTGTGACACTCTTGATCAGGGGATGGAGGGAATATTGTCTAAGTCTCTGGTGCTTTTGGAGCTATATTTTTCTGCCAGCACAAATCTTGGAATAGATTATTTTCTCTTGCAGTGGGTTATAGTCGAAGGCATTTCACGTGGCTCAGCTCTTCTAGCCTAGGTACTTAAGTTCTTCGTCGCACTGTTATCCAAGTCTCTTACAAATCTGTAATGTAGCTATCCTTGCAATACCCTGTGGAGTGGGGAAGGATTCATTGTGTCTTACAGATAGGAATTGCAGGGCAGAGACATCTTAAGAATCTACATTCCACTGAAGTCTAACCTGTGATCCTAAAAACCTCCAAGCAGCTGCTGCCTAACCTGGGAGGCAGCTGAATTCCAGAGGTGCCTCTGTTTTGACATTTTAGAGCTCCCCAGGTACCTCTAGTTCTGCGTCTGTGCATGTCTAACGATGCTTCTGGCTTGACAGGACTGTGCTGTTTGGTACCTTCCTCATGCCATCAGGATCCATCAGTTAGGCTTTCCTCTACCTACTGTCCCCACAGGGCTTGATCTATAACACATCTGTTGAAGGGTCTTCACCTCAAACAGTGAAAGCTTCTACTTTCTTTCGGAGCATGGCCGGGGAGGAGGAAGAGGTTGAATTCTTTGCATGTTGCAGTGAAACCGGTTTCCAGCTTCATTGGACCAAAGAATGAAGCTGTATAGCTCAGTGGGTGAGGCACTCACCTGGATTCCAGCCCTGGGCTCCCAGGAGTGGTTGTGCATATCCAGTGGTTGGTGCAGAAAGTCCAGCGAGCAGGCTAGTTGGGCCTTTAACCACACGGGTGAAGAGTGAGTGGAACCCAGGGCTGCTTTGTCTCCTGGGAGCACCCCTTCACCACTAGGGTGAAGAGGTGCATGCTTTCTCCCTGGCTCATGAATCTTAAAATCTTCTGTGTAAAGAGGAACAGCATCGGCAGGAGTGGTTTGAGCCTCCCACCTCAGACTAATCTATAGCTCCACAGTTTGGGCACTTTCCTGGGATGTGGGGATTTGAATCCCTTGAGGCAAAGGAGGAGCTGAATCTGGGAATCCCCCTTCCTGGATGAGTGCTGTTACTGCTGCGCTATTACATAGAGTTGGAAGAAACCACCACCTTGTCTTCCTCTGACAGCAAAGTTTGTTTTGTGTTTTTTGTTTTGTTTGTTTTTTTCTTTTAAATAAAAACGGGTGCCTTCCAGTTGCACCAAAGCCTGGTCGGGAAGGTACAGATGGCTGGCATTTAAGACCCATCCATGTTCTTCTCTATTGGCTATCTTTCTTTATATTTATCTCGGGTTTAGTTTCCATCCCTCCTCTCTCTTTTTCCCCCCTTCCACAACCAGTGTGTTGTGTTGTGTTGTGGCTCCCATGCGAAGTGCCCAAATCTCTTGATGTACTGTATAGGGACCCGGGTGCCTGGTGCAGGGTTCTGGATTCCACGATGGTGGCTGGGCACCTAAAAGCGAGGGATTGCAACACATTGTTCCCTCTTCAGATCAAGCCCCTTGCAGCCCAGGCAAATGATTCCCAAGTCCAAGGTAGTGCCTTAACTGCTGGGTCATTCTTTCTCTCTGGAGAGGAGGAACAAAAGAGGCCAAATTAAGCTTCTGATTCTGCCAAGGCCTAACAGGAAAACAAACCCTTTGTTTTTTGACCCTGCTTAGTTCTTGTTAGAGCTCCCCCATGGTCCCAGCAGTTTAATAAGCTAATTTAATAAACAAATTGCCAAGACTCCTCTCTTGAGTGTGAAGCTGATCCTCAGGGTTGGTTCGTGGGTCTCTTTGCTGGTTGCTTGTAATACCAGACCTGAAAGCAATCTACAACAGCCTGCTGCAGCACAAATGAATGAACCGTATCATGGGATGCAGAGCAGCAGCTGAGGGGCATTGTAAGAATGGCAAGATTCATGGAGCGCAGCAGGCTATACATTGCCTGCTTGCAAAAAAGTGCACGTCCGTCACAATTTGTGTGGTCCTGTGGAGCTTAGGTTTTCAAATCCCTGCAGAAGGTGATTGGACTTGGCAATAACTGTGCATTCCTCTCTGTTTCTGATGACCCAGTGTGATGAAAAGAAACTGAATCATGTGGGCTGGGATTGTTAACAGCATGCAAGCGACTTAGGCTCCCGAATCTCATTGAACTTCAGTAGGAGTTGGGTGACTAATTCTCTTAGGTTCCTTTTGACTGTCCCAGCCTTAGAGGTTAACAACTAATCCAGCAGTTCTCAAGCTTTTTTAGACGCAAGACACCCTTGGAGAATGCCAGTTCTTAGCTTTCGTTCTTTTTTTGACTATGGAAAAATAATTGAGCAATTCTTCTTCCATTGCAAAGAACTCCCACTCCAGTGGGTCAGAATGGTTTTTAAAACTGTGGGTTCCTAGTTGAAATCTTTGGGTTTATTTTGTGAATCATGTGTAGGTGTTTGCATCCTGTGGCACCCTTTAAGGATCTTAAAGCACCTCATGGTGCTGTGGCACCTTGGTGGAGAATTATCTGAGTTAGTAACTTGTAACCACTGCATTTGTTGTGATTACCTCTCATCTCATCTAAAATACATCTCATGTAAAGCTGACTAGCATGAAGCAGACTGTTCTTGCTGATCAGCTAATACAAAGGATGCTGAAGCTCAGGTGAGCTTAGAAAGGCTCAAGCAGTTGTGGCTTATTAGAAAACTTCAACCTGGAATCTCTGGAAGGTATGGAAAGGTTTGGGATTTAAAGGAGATTGAGACCTTAAAAGAAAACTGTAGGCACTGAATTCTGCTTGTTGTCATTTTTTAACATCTCATCCATATGTCTTCTAGAACTGTTTAAAAGTGTGGTTTCAATTGGTATCTCAAGTTGCATTCTGTTGGGACCTCTCCATTTGGGCTCTGCTGGTCAGTGTTATGGCCAACAGCGGAGCTCCAGGAACAATTTGGAGAAGCTGCTCTGTCCTGTTTGTCTTTGTCATAAAGATGTCAGAACTCCGATGCTGCAGCTGGCTCTAGGCAGAGGTGCCCTCAAATAACACTGTCATATACCCTTTCCCATGTGTGGTAAAGGCTGAGGACTCTGAAGTGAGTATGGTGCCAGAAACTGCCCAGCTACTAGATAACAGTGAACCAACTTGAATTACCCTCAAGTTGTTCTGGTGCTTCTCCTGACCCTTTGTGCCAGTTAGAGATGTTCATTGGCAGATCCAACATGTAATGAGTGTATATTTTGTTAGCACAATGTGAGCCACTTTGTTCTCCTTGACAGAGATCCAATATCCAACTGAGTTAACATCTCAGCCAGGGGAAGGTTTTATTATTGTGACTAGGGATTAGCATAATATATATTGGAGACAATGCATTGCTTACACTTTAATGTTGTAATAGTCTGTTTAGTTTGCTAGGTGTTTTTCCTCCTAGAGTGTTTTTCTTTCCACTTAGCTTAAATACTTTAGACTAAAAGGCGGCATCAAGGATGCACGGGTGTATTTTGTTGTGTGTGGTTGTTACATGTCCCACATTTCACAGATAAGCTTCCTGCGTCCAAACCACCCCTGACCATAATAGCTGATCGTAGATTTACTGCATTTTATCAAAGCAGAGATTTCAGAACCTGGCGTATCGTATCTTTCCATTGTAATGGGTTCAGGTAAGACACCCGGTATGAATAAGCATCCTTTTGAGGGGAAAGATGAAGGATTGAGTGGTTCTCTTGCCTGTAAGCCACAATTCCTATATTCAAACCTTGCTTCTTCCCTTCCAGATGCCCTCCAACCTGTTGTTCCATGAGTAATGTGGATATTTGTTTGCAGTCGGTAACTGGGGCTCTAATTAAAAGAATTGTAAGAGACATGGCTGATACTCTGGCTAAATTCAAGTAAGAGCACTAGAATGCAATAAAATCTAA